TCCACCAGTATTTCAGTTGATTCCGGGGTGAAAGCTCGCGGCTGCCATGTTTGTGTTCATTCATTTACCTCTATTTTAGCTGAAAAATTTTCTTCAAAATTACGTCTTTTTGATAAAAAATTCGATAATTAATAAGCAAAAGAGTTCTAAAGTACTATTTCTTCGCAAACGTCGGATTGTGAATTTTTGGGGTGTCAAAACCTTTCGGCAAATCACGTACCTCTGGAGGGTGGCCTAGCTGTACAAACGTGAACCTCAAACCGCAAACCTGACGGTAAGGCCCTAGTCATGTGACTTCTTGCTGGAATGCCCCCCCAAAAACATTGATCTAAGGTCTCTAATCTCTCTTGCCCAAAAGCAAACATTGCCCAGCAACTCACATGCCGGTCACCATAGAGGCTTTATTCAGTTTTTCCAATAATCAATAATTCTTCTAGAAAGTCGGACACAAAATATTATGGTAATTTTCCTCCTTCTCCCTCGTTTTCTGCCAACATTATTCATGTTATTCGTGTTTGAAAAGTTACAAAGAACTGAAGTCAACCAAAAAGCGATCAAAAAACGAGTTAGGACAGTGCGAGTCATGCGCCATGCGAGAAACTATATATACAAAAAATCTAAATTAAAAAACAGTAATACGGGAAACATTAATGGAAAGCCAACCATTGCAAATAAGTGTTTAAACCAAAACAAAGCTTAACCCTTATACGAAACAATGAGTGCTTAACCACCCTAGTGAATAAAATGTGCTCTTAGCCCTGCCTAATGAAAGTCGACCAAAACTGCGTAATTCTGCAATTGTTCCAGCAGAAAACCTTACATGCTTATTGGGAACTACTCAGGAAATAAAACATTTTTCATGTATTTGCAGTTTCATAAAATATTAATTTACCCATGATTGGCAAGAATTGCGTGTATTTTACCCATGACTGGCACGAATTGCGTGCGTTGCTCACTGGCTCGAAGATTGCCCGGCCCTTTAAAGAACAGTGAATAGTGACGCTTATTTTTGAAGCGGTCAAGATTAATTCTGGGAACTTTGTCTGACTTTTGTTATCGGAAAGCCAACACTGACTTGAAATAGTGTTTACTAAATTTCTTTCATATATTTCAAATGCAACAGTCAAAATTCATTTATATTTAAGTAAAAACATTGGGAAAATGCACAAAATACTTATTAAAGTTAGTGTGAATACTGATTTCGGAATTAATTAGCCTTCCAACTTGAAATGATCTTGAAAAGTAATGGTGCTGACCTAGTCCTTATTTTCAATTCTTAATCAGTTATAATTTATATAGTAAGTCAAAAGCCTACTGGTAAAAAAAATCAAACGTTAAACAGTGAATATAACAACCTAAGCTTGGATTAGAACTCCATGTTTACTCACAAACGTGATCTTAGTGCATAAACCGTCTTAAACGGCACTTCTTGTTATTAGTGTTTTGTTAAAACACTAATAAAGAATAAGTACTTTAAAGTACTGTTTTGTGGGATCAAGATGCTAAGTTTTGTCCCTGAAAGGTTGCATTTTTTGAAGACCGTAGTAACCAGAGAGAAGGCAAAATATTATATGATATTCAGGTGCGCTAGCACCGAAGGCTCAAGGCTTTTCAGAAAATGCGCCCTGCCGAATTTTTTTTAGAATTAATCAAGAGGTTCTGAAAAGCTTTGTTCAGAAATTCAAAAAGGGATTTCTTTAGATAAATTGATCTAGACGAGGCAAGTATTTCGCTTTACCACATGCTAAGTGCGGCTTGATTTTTACCTTTAAAATCTTCAAAGCTGGGTTTGGGTATTTTGTTGAATAACAACATAGCCCAGCACCTGTCGACACAACGGGACCCCGGATGTCTAATACCATATTCATTGTTTTCTGGCTAAAATTTGTTTTATGGTACGTAATAACAAAAATTGGATACAAAGCCTCCCTGCAGGATATCAGTGGTTTCAGTTGTAACATTGTTGGTGTTTTATTGTTCCTCATTTTACCGAATTATGTTAATCAATGCTCCAAGTCTTTGAATATTCAAGACGATTATAACAAGTCATATGTGACCATTATTTTATCTTCAGTTGTTATGAAAATATTTCGCGGGTTAATTACGTTGTTGGAGTGTCACTGAAACTGTAAAGCGTCTCGTTCCAAGTGTCCTATCGCGTTCCACCACAGGTTCAGTTAAACCGTACAAACTGTTCATCTGGAGTCTGCGACATGACTTGTCTTCATTTTGCTATTTGTGAAATTTTCGAATGAAACTGATTACAAAAATGAAGCACAGTCATAATTGTATTCCACACAGATAAAAACAGAGTGTCATTCCTTTGTTAAAAATAATTTAGTTTTGGGCGGATAATTATTCACATACAGTCGTGGAAAGTTAACAGTATATAGATGGCAGCTGAGAAAGCTTTAGAAGCAAGCTGAAATTTCATTTATTCTGACATTTCTGATAAGGTTCGTATGCGTGGGTTTCTGCACTATAAGTACATAACAATTTTATTTCATATACTTTCTGCATATTTGACAAGCCAAACGCCGCCTTTGTGTGTTTTAAGCAATGGCTCCAAACGTAAACAAACGGACAAGAGACTTGTCATTAAAAATGATTTTGGCGTAGCAGGTGGAACTATAAACACGTAAATTTACAAGGTTTGAAATTCTCTTAAGTTTTTAAAAAAATTTTGGCTACTGTAAAACAGACGTGGTTTTTAAAAATTATTGGTGACTTTAAAACTTATAAAGTACTTTGACGCAACCATCCGCGATTATTTAAAGATGTACGTGAATTTGTACTAATCATATAAGCCCCTAAAGGCTCAGAGCAGAATCTTACAAGCTCGACACCTGCAAGAAGTCATTTTTTTGGGGGCACATAACTTCTTCCTTTTTCTTTGTTAACTTGGTGGCGAATGTTACGTTTTATTACTACAGTAAAACAAAAGACGTACTTAGTTTTATCGCCAAGAATATTAATATAAAGCGAAAACGCTTGGAAGCGTCAGTGTGTGATCAAGTCACAACATCCTAGCTAACCCTTTTCCAAAGGCTCAGAAATCTCCAAGGATAGCATGACATTTTTTAACATTAATACCTTTATAATCAGAATAACTGCACGCTGTAACTGTGTTCGTTCCCAGGATAGCGAGAAAAACCTGTTAATTCAAAATATAACAGATTAAAAGTGTCAATGGCGATTTCTACAAATTAAGTTCACCTAGTGACTTGTACTTCTTAAGGTAAATGATAATCATTACATAGCAAATTGTTCAAATTGCTATATATTTTACTGACCGCCAGAGCACTCATGTAGCAGAAATTATCCATGACCGGTAATTAGGCATCGGTTTGGTTCAGGTCAGTTATGTTGCCAGCTCTTCAGCTGAAAGTGATAAATGACACAATATAGTTTACTTTGAATGCAAATGTTTAATGAGATTCTAAGGTTATGTTTACACTTTACCAGACAGCTTTGGCGCCGGCACGAAAACCTTACCGGATAGGGCATCTGTTCTCACATAAGAACGGTGATTTCGGCGACATTTCCATCTCTGAGCGAAGCTGCACCGCGCCTAAACTCTAAACTGGAGAGTCAGACGTTTATGCTATAAAGGCTAGCTTTTCATGTCTGCCTAAAACGCTATTCAGCATAGTGTGGACTCAGCCTCAGTTTTTCGGCTTTCAGTGCTGCAAGCAATGTACCCGATAACGGTAGCATAAATGTGACCGGGCTCTTAACAAATGTATTCCTCGCGAAACTGAGGAATTAGTGCTGACTGGGAAAATTTTAGGGGGAATCGTTTTGTCATGATTTTTATTAAAAAAAGGGTGGAAATTACTGAGAATCAATTTCCCTGTGTTAGCTGGAGCTAAGCCACTGTGTGAACGCTACAAGTGCTACCAGCTAACTGGCCAAACCGGGATTTAAAACACTATTATTAAATTTAGGCATGATGTTGCTTCTGTATGTGGTTCAAGTTCGTTATTCTTACTATTTTTACACAATAATTTGTTCGTAAGACATATATTAATCGAAACTAAGATAGTACGCGCGCTCTGATTGGCCGAGAGGAGTGTTTGTATGAGAGTATGTATACATGGTTGTGGCGTCAAGTTGTTTGGTTTTTCGCGCGCTAATCACGCAAGCACAAATTTGAAAAAGTTTTCGAGTTCAAAACTCAAAAAGTTTACTTTATTTACCCATTCCTTCGTCGGCTGAAACTTGGAAAATCGTTACAAAGAAGGTGTGTTCATTTTTCTTCGCTTAAGCTGACCGTTTTAAGCGAGAAAAATCCGTATTTTGCAAAGCATCTTTTTGCAAAACAAGAACTGATTACGCGTGCAAGACTTTGTGGACAAGATTTTGCGACTGGTAAGAATTTCTCTTTTAATCAGTGCCATACAAAGAGTTTTGCGTTTTTTTCTCGGGAAAGTTATTTGATAAAAGCAATAGAAATCTTTTTTCCTGTGTTTCCATACCCTGATATAAACACTCGAGGCGTTGGGAGAATTCTCGACAGTTATGCAAACCCTCGACTTCGTCTCGGGTTTGCATAACTGTCTAGAATTCTCCCAACGCCTCGAGTGTTTATGCAAACACGGAAAACGTTTTCTATTGCTTAAAGGTCAAATGAACCAAAAAATTGACATATCTTCTTTTGTCGCTTTACCTTCACCAAACACTAAAAAGAACCATCCTAAGAGAGATTTGGGGAAAGATTTTTCTTCCCAAGCCTTTATAGAAAGATAAAAGATCAAAATCCGATTATTTCCGAAAACTTCACGAAAACGTTTCTGAAATGGCCGCGTGATAGACTGGAGACTACGTGACGTCATTGCTGGTCTTTCAGGGCGGAAAAACGTTCTGCGCAAGCTTCTGCGCATCCCTTATCGCCTGCGTTTGTTTGTCTCGTTCTGTGAGAGTTCTGACTGAGACTGAATGAAATACACGAGGTGCGAACGTTTGCCATTTGTAAAGGCTTTTTTTGTTGTTTTTGTTGTTTTTTCGCCACTTGAAAATTACTTTGGATTCAGAACAACCAATGTTAGAGTAAAAACAGATCATCCGTCAGTCTGAGGAGGAATAAACCGTTTTGAACATTTCCAAAGAGGTTTGTATTTTTCTGATAATTGTGCAATCGATTTGTGAATTGATTTTGTGTCCAGTTCTTCGCCTTCTTTCGCCGGACTGAATTAAAACCCGCTTGTAATCTGTTATTAGTAGTTACGGTTAGTTTTTTGACATGCCCAGATTTATTTACCTTTGCAGAACCAGCTTTATCCTTGTCTTATGTCAAAGAACCGTGATGCTAACGCTTGCGAGTGAACAAACTTGAGCGCTTAAAACTTCCTCGGAACTTTAGAAGGCCAGCAAGCTTACTCGAGAAGAAAAGACTACTTCGATCATTTTTCTGTTGCTCAAGTAATAATAGTCAGAGTTTTTTTCCTTTAGTTTTTTCAGTTTTAATTACATAGTTTTGTTATCTTTCTGTACGCAAATTTTCCTTTCACTCGCTGTGAAGTAGCGGAGAACGACAACTGCCGGCAGTGACTCTAAAACAATCGACTCTTTCAACCGTAAACAATTGCTGGAGCTAGATTTGACTGAAGCGAGCAAAACAAATCCTTATGTGCAGTTTTCTGTATTTTCTAATGATTCAGTTTGCTGAGTTTATTTGCTTGAATGAAGACCCTCGCATGGACCAGTTATTACTAAAAAAAAGTAGCTGATCTAGCTAAGTAGTCGGAATCATGGCTTGGCAGCGACGCTTGCAGCTGATCTTTTTCTTTTAAGATCTTTAGATAAGTTGTTTCCGTACAGAAAATTCACTTCTTCTTTGTCATCAGGTATAAGAGCCTTAAGCCTTAATGTTTTTTTTTTTTTAATGAAAATTTGTTGTTTTGCAACCTTATTGAAGCTTTTTTTAGTTCACTTGAGCTGAATTTTATGCATGATGGAAATGTTCTTTGCTTGTCGCATCTCTTTGCCAGCTTAAAGAGGCGTCTATGGTCCTTAAAGTGACCTCAATCGGTAATTAAATCTTATACATAATTGGAAAGAAGTTTTCGCAATAATGTAACTTTAACTTTGTTTGAAGGAAATCTTACTTACGCGTAGGTTTTCGACATGTGTTATCCATGTTCAACTTGACAACACAAAGCAAAATTAATCTGCGCGAAGCGATCAAGTTTAAAAAACTATGGTTGCTTTGAAAACGATCTTGGGGAAGATTTACTAGATAAAGATTAACTCTTTTTCTGCCCACATATCAACGCCAAAACTTCTACATTGAGGATTTTGTTTATATTTTAGTGATCTGCGAAGCTAGAAGTGTCAGATCGAGCGGGGGATTTAAAATATCAGCTCGAGTGCGACAAAGTTCAGTGGGCCTACTTGAATTTCTTTGGGCAGATTATTATACAAAGATATTTTGTTTTTGTGTCCACGGTGGAGCTCCGGACCTTATATATCTAGGAACTTCCTTATATGAACACATTTTGTGAATGCATCTTGAAAAACATCGGACTTACGCACGCACATTTCCAGTACAACTCAAGGAAATTAGTAAATGTCGTTAAAGTCCGTTTTACTATGATGTATTCTTCGAGAAAATTAAATAATAAGAAGGTTATAACCACAGCTTGCAACTTTTGAAGACAAATATTGCCTGTTCTTTCCAGGTTTATAACCGCACAAACCACTTCTGCGCCAAGTCCACTCGAAAAACTCTGAAATGAATTTCCCGCTTCTTTTCACCTGACCAACATTGACGTCACAAGCTGTTTTTTCCGACAATTTTTCCGACCGCTCTACGAAGATAAGGGCCAAAAAACAGCAATTTTTGATTGCGAATATCTCGGAGATACTTGCTTCAATTGAGCTGAAACTTCATAGTATGTTTATTTGGTTCATATTAAACACATTTCACTAGAATTGAACCAAAATAAAAAGTGTCGAATTTTTGGTTCATTTGACCTTTAAAGAGTCAATAACTAAGGCAATGTTCACACTATACTGGATAGCTTTCGCGCCGGCACGAAAACCATGGCCAGGGGCACCCAACGACAATTTTTGGAAAATATCTGTTCGGAAGACGATTTGAGATCTAGACTTTGAAACAGTTGTTGTAACATTTCTTGCTTGCCTGCCTCTCCAAGGATTTTCGAGCGCCCCAGAAATGGTATAATTGCCCATTTGTAACGGATTTTTACCCTAAAAAGGTCACCTAGAGTTTTCGGGAGCCTTTTTTCTGGCTGAAGTTTTCGAAAAGGTAAGTTTTGATCCCTATAACTTTCGGACTAGACTTTAGCTAGGAAATCCGAACAAATGAAAAATTTTTAGGGGATAAAGATATGCCTATATCTACCGATTAGTATAGGTAATAGCATGATTAGTAGTGATATTTGGCATAAATACCACGAGTGATATTTCAAAATTGCTATACGTAATTTCACAAGCCGTTAGGCGAGTGAAATTTGAGACAATTTTGAAATATCACGAGTGTTATTTATGCCAAATATCACGTACAAATCATGCTATTATTTGTTTAAACTACTACCCGCAAGAGGTTTGTAATTTTCACATGTAGGTATTTCAAATTAAGCTGAAATACCACTGCTCTAAGCCAATCAAATTGCAGAAATTTCTCATGTAGTAGTATAAAATACTAAAATACGTTTAACAATGCTATGTTTAAGTGGCTTTGAACTCTATTCTACTTGGGTGCTCCCGAAAACCATGCATACTGTTCACACATCTTGATAGCCCGACAAAAGAGCCGACAACTTGCGAATTGTTGGTTTTTTCTTCAGGCTAACATCTTGAACAGACCGAGATTTCGGCGCGATTTCTCTCGGAAATGGGGCGAAGCTGCAACACCGCGCCGATCACGTAACGGATATGTGTTCATACTATACTGGGTAGAATTTTGTGTCAACACAAAGCTTTCCAGTCCCGGGGGGGGGGGGGGGGGGGGGGGGGGAAATGCCACATATAAGGGGGGGGGGGGTGGGGGGGGCGGTTGGTGGGGGGAAAAATCGGCGGTGTTGTCGGGTCGGGGGGTGTTGGGGGAAAGACGGCGTATTTTTTCGCGGTGGGGCTGGCGATGGGGTGGGGTGAGAAAAAAAACAAACAAAAGAGAGTAAATGTTGTTATAGAATCGTAGAGCAAATATGAAAAGACAGATGGCGCCCGACCTTGACGCCAGCTTAAGATGGGAGAAAAGAAACTCTATATTTTGACACATACATGCGGGTTTTCCTTATGAGGGGGCTGGGCGAGAATTTGCAGGTCCCGTAGGGCAACGGCCGATGGGGAGCGGGAAGGG